AATTACTAATTTTAATTTAAAATACAAATAAGAATTACTAAAACGGACGAAAAGAAGATTAAGAAAATACAATAACAACAACAACAAACAATAATAATAATTAATAATAATAATAATAATAATAATAATAATAATAATAATAATAATAATAATAATAATAATAATAATAATAATAATGACAATAATAATAACAACAACAACAATAATAATAACAACAACAAACAACAACGAACAACAACAACAAACAACAACACGAACAACAACGACAACAGCAACAACAACAACAACAAACAACAACAACAACAACAACATCAAAGCAGTTCAAAGCGGTTTTTTTTTCTTTTTGCAAATATTAACAAAATGCTTTTAGATGAAATGGTAAAAAAAGTTTCTCAGGTAAAAATAAAAGAAAATCACCTTTCAGATAATTATAAATTGTAATTTATGAAAAAATAAATAAATAAATTCAAAACTATCCGCGAACCAATTCACCAATCTACTAATAAATTTAACAAAATTACAAATAGAAGAAAGAAACCTCGTTAAAAATGTAAAAAAAAGAAAAAAAATTAGTTCAGTAACACCAAATTGTTTCAATTATTTCATTTCTATTATGTATATATTATTTCATTAGCAATTATTTTCATGCATTTTGTAATTGCAAAGTCGTTTCACATGTAAATTTTCTTCCTTAATCATGAAATATTTTAAAATAAAGTATAAAAGAAACGAAAAAAATTCATTTCCTTCCTTTGCCTTAATGATCAAAACTATAATAAAACCCGATATTTCGTCCCCATTGTACGAGCATATTTTATTTGTTTTTTTTTTGTTTTTAATTTATTTACAACCTGTATTTGCCGCTTGCAAAATCATTTGTGTGATATCCATTTGTCCACCCAGAAAATCCAACAAAACATTTCCTATCGACCATCCAGTTGTACTTTTTCGTCGGAAATTCATAAATACCTTAAAAGGGGAAAAAAAAACTTTTCCGTAAAATTTCAAGATTATCGGTTTTTTTTTTGAAAATTTTCACATTTTTAGAAAAAAAAAACAACAACAATTGCTGAAGCAAAGATAATATTGAAACGAAACGATAAGTGTTCTTTTGTCACTAATTCAAAAAAAAAAGGTCACCAATTTATATCGGAAAAGTTTTTCATTTTTTTTTCAGTAATAATAATTGCATTTGATAAAAAAATGCTGCAAATTTGAAAATTTTAAAAGTTCATAAAATTCATAGATTATTATAGATAGCATTTTATAAAATTCATTTTTTATCGATAATCAACAAACAAACATATTACATTACAATATTCTATTAGCTATTAATACTTTCTTTTCTTTTTTTTTCGGTACAAATAAAATTAAATTATTTTTAATTTTTTTCCATCTTTTAAAAAATCTTTCATTCTTTCTATTTCAATTCATTTTTTTTTTTTCATAATGAAAAATTTTTTACCTGTGGAAAATATTTACACATCGTTACAGACATTTTAATATATGATAAACCCATAATGTATTGTAATGGATTCATTATTCCAATTATTGTTAATATTAGCATTATACCAACAATTAATGCAAATAATGTTGCAATACTCCAACAAGTATATGAAATACGTTGATTACCACGCTAAAAAAAAAAAAAAAATAGAAATTAATCTTCATTTAAATTTAAATTTAAATTTTGGATTAATTTGAAATTTTCATCTTTTCATAATTTTTGAGCAGTATAAAAATCTACAAATATGAGAAAGTTAAAAAAAAAAAATAAAAAAAAGGCAATTACTATCGAATACTTTAGCATTCATTCAATTGATATTTAACATTTTATAAAATTGATTAAAATGGATAGAAATATAATGCTAACTTCATAGATGAAACATTGTAAGGCAGTGATCGCGCATGCAAAAACTGCATGCGTAGCAAATACCACATCATTTAATAAAACCGGAATTAAACTATGTGGATGACTTTGACCGTATAATTCCTGAAAGTAAAAAAAAAAAAAAATTGTATTTATGAAATTTATTTATTTCCTTTTTTCATTAACGCTTGTCATTCCTTTATTTGAAATTTTTTTGAACATTTCCAAATATTTGTATCATACCAATATCATATCAATGATTATAAC